CGTCGAATCTATCCAAAATCAGAACGAATACGTCACAATATGCTAAGGGAACAAAGCCCAAGCGAAAACATTCGAAAAATATCAAAAATTCCGAAATTAGTAAAACCCGAGCCCCGAGCCCACGTCTCGTAATCGGGTAAAATTTACATTTTCAGAATCCTCATACCCTCACGAGTCTAACCATACCAAAATTATCCAATTCCGATACCATTTGGTCCTTCAAATCATCATTTTTCATTTTTGAAAGATTTCACAATTTTCTTCCCAAATTTCATCCTAAATCACAAATTAAATGATGAATTCAGTGATAGATTCATGTATTCTAGCCAAATCTGAGTTAAAATCACTTACCCCGATGAATTTCTTGAAAAACCTTCGAAAAATCGCCAAAATCCGAGCTCTCTAGGTCAAAATATTAAATAAAACCCAAAAACCTCGTATTTATAGGTACCCCCTCAGATTTCAGCTACCGCGGGCCGCACCAAAACGACCGCGGCCGCACAGGCCTCCCTCTGCAGTGACATACTTTAGTATTTTGGCCATAACCTTTGCTACAGATGTCCAAATTGCGATATCTTTACCTTTCTGGAAACTAGACATGAAGGGCTACAACTTTCGTTTTTGAATTATCTCAAAATTCATTGTGGATCAAAAGATATGAGCTTATGAAGTTGGACCGATGATCTGCAGATCTTCATGACCGCGGACCGCGGACCATTTTCCGCGCCCAACACTAAACCAGCGCGCCCAGCGCTAATTCTACCGCGGCCAGCGCTAACAATTCTGCCCCCATCCATTTTCTAAGTTCTGAAATGTCTGTACTCGCTCAAAACTCACCCGAAACACACCCGGAGCCATCAGACCTCAATCCAAACATACCAACACCTCCCATAACATCATTAACACCTAGTCGAGCTTTCGAATCACTCAAAACAACATCAAAACACCAAATCAACTTCGGATCAAGCTTAAGAACTTAGAAATTTCAAATTCCACAAACAACGCCGAAACATATCAAATCAGGTCCGATTGACCCCAAATTTTGCACACAAGTCATAAGTGACATAACGAAGCTACTGCAACTCTCGGAATTTCATTCTCGAAATCGTCGAAATCTCAATTTCGCCAATCCAAGCCTAAACCTTCCACGGACTTCCAAAATGCATTCCGATCACGCTCCTAAGTCCCAAATCACCTAACGGAGCTAACCAAATCATAAAAATTCTCATCCGAGATCAAATACACATAAGTCAAATTTTGGTCAAACCTTTCAAATTTAAGACTTTCAACTGAGACTGTTCTTCCAAATTCATTCTGATTAACCTGAAACCCAACACCAACGATTTACATAAGTCATAATACACCACACGGGGCAAGTCATGCTCGAAGACTGGCGATCAAAGTGCAAAAGTTCAAAACGACCGGTCGGGTCGTTACATTATTACTATTCACGTAATTTAAATTTTTATTACTTTTATTACATTTTCATATTTGCGAAGAAATATTTGGTCATTAAAACTCTTTAGCGACATGTTTATCAAATAGATAAATGACTATTAATGAAGAGATTTTTGGTTGTTAAAAGTAATTATACAATTAACGAAGGGAATATCGGTCTCTAAAAGCACTTGAATTGACTTAATACATTGTTGTCATTAAAGACTTTTAACGATCGGATAACAAATTAGCGAGGGGAAAATCCTGTCGCTAAAAAGTATGTTTAATGACCGAAAATTATGTCGTCGCTAAAGATCCTTTAACGACCGGATTGTAAACTGGTCGTTAACTTTTAATGACCGGTGACGACTGGATTTTTTCCGGTCATTATCGACTTATAACGACCGGAATTGGACTTTTAACGACCAAATTTCCCTTCGCTAAAACCCCATTTTCTTGTAGTGCTTGTCATTTTCGTTTTTCCTCCACTCTTTTGCCTTGTCCTTGTTCCCGTTTTTGGACTTTGAAGTAGTAGAGAAATCAGAACCATCTTTCACATTCTATCTTTAGAGTTCCATTTGCGCCCACGACTGCAACCCGTAAAGGAAATTGTGTAGCTTGTCTTCCTCAGACATGTTGCTTATATCCAGCATCAAAGAACTGAATTCCTTGACATATTCCCCGACCATTCCAGTTTGTTTCAACTTCTTCAAACGATCTCTAGCAATCCAGCCCGCATTGCTAGAAAAGAATTGATCCTTCAACTCTTTCTTCAGCCCTTCCCAAGAGTCAATCTTCGGCCTATGAGCACTTACATCATCTGCCATGCGAGTCCGCCACCAAAGCTTTGTATCATCCATCAAGTACATAGTCATAATGGTGACCTTGTCTTTATGTCGCACATGGGCAGCCTGAAAGTACTGCTCCATATCCCATAGGAAATTTTCGAGTTTCTTGGCACTCCTTGCTTCATTAAACTCTTTAGTCTCAGGAATCCTGACCTTGGTACGATCTACCACACGTTATGCTTCATCATTGCCAATAGCACGATGCAACAACACTTTTTCCGCTTTTAAATCTGTGCATTTTTGGCTTAGCCTGTTCATATCAGCATCAAGATAGGCGATATGAGTCACAATGGTCAGAAATTGATCCCCATCAACAGTTCTGATGAGTGCCTCCAAAGTAGTAACATTTTCCCTCAGTTCTACGTTGCCACCAGCCATCTTTAATGAAATTTAACCAACGAACGTTGTGTCTTCGCTCCGATCCAGCCACGCTCTGATACTAGTTGACACAGGGGTGATTTATGTCACTCAAATTCTGCCCGAGATTCACCTCCATGCGGCAGTCAAGCCCAGCCTTGACTTCAGCCTTTCCAACACTTAGTTTTATTTTAGGGACGGTTGGACTTAGAATGATTTAGGCAGCAAAAACAATAAGTAAAGGCACACACAATTTACAGGAATTTCTTACCAACTCGTATTAATATATGAATACAAGAACACAATAAGCCAACCCTATGGCCAAGATAAAGAATTCCCTAATTCCCTACCCCAAAACGATTTCCCAACCTTAGGAATATACTTAGACGAAATTTGGCTAACTCATGTGCCACAAGCTAAGTTCTGCCCATTTGGGACAGCTGTTGATACCCAATTTTTTCTGTATATTTTTTTATATGCAAAATACTTTCAAAATAGCATGTAAATGCATATATAAGTATGTCCAGAGGTTTTCTTAATTTTCCTTAATTTTTAAGAATTTTTAAATCAATTTATTGCCCTATTTTATCAAGAAAACCCAATAATTATTCCCAAATTATATTTTTGG